GAAAGCACCTGCGTCAGTCGGAAGGAAAGGGTCCCGTGCTGCCGCCCTGCCCACTCGGCGATGACCGGCTGGAGAGCCTCCACGGCGGCGAAGCCAGCGCGTGGAGTCTCCAGCCGGAACGACCAACGAGCCATCGTGGCTCGGCGAGCGGCTTCGCGCCACTCGCGCACATCCTCGGGCGGAGGGCGAAATCCGCTCTCCGCCCGGTAGTCAGCCACTCGCCGATAAACTTCGGCGAGCACTTCCGCCTCCAAATCCCACGGGGGAGTTCCGGCCAACACGCACGCCACCTCCGTCGAAACGGTGCGGTAACCGCGTATGGCTCTGACCGCCATTACCCTCTGAGGGCGCCAGAGGCGTACCCTATTCTGGGCGGTCAGAGCCGCCGCCCACACCGGTGCACCGTACAGTGCCATTGACCGGACAACCCCCGTGTACAGCCGTCTTGTCGCGACGCTGGGTCCACCCATATTGGGCAAAAGTCGCCCTAGGGCAGACGCAGCGCCGACCAGCTTTGGAGCAAGCTGTCGGAAGTGCTCGTCGAAGAGCCACCTCCCGTCGAGGATCAGGCCCAGATATTTCATCTGGGCCCGAACCGGTACGAGGACCGAGTTGACCACGATGGAGGCGCCAGGGGGTGGACCACGACGGGGCCCATGAAATAACAGGGCCTCCGTCTTATCTAGGGCCACCCGTAAGCCCAGCGCCTCAATGCGCCCGACCACCAGGGAGACTCCCCCTGTGGCCAGGCGCGCCGCCTCTTGGAAGTTTGCCCCCCGGGCTGTCACCAAGGTATCGTCTGCGTAACAGATTACACCCAGCCCGGGGGGGAAATCGGCGCGAAGGGCCCAGTCGTACCCTATGTTCCACAAGAGGGGTCCAAGAACAGACCCCTGTGGAACACCGCACGACATGGGCCGACTCCTCAAATTACCTTCTCGGTCCTCGTACACGACGGTACGCTCCTCTAAGTAGTCTGCCACTAGCCGCCTCAGGTACTTTGGCACCCCATGATAGTGGAGTGCTTCCCTGATGCAGCTGAATGGCAGACTATTGAATGCGTTGGCGATGTCTAATGACACCGCCAACAGCACGCCGCCACAGCTCACTGCCTCTTCGGTCACGGCCCTCAGGCGCAACACGGCGTCGACTGTCGAACGCCTCGCCCGAAAACCAAATTGGGCGTCCGACAGATCGGGGCCCACCTCGCAGAGGTGCCGGACGATGCGGGCAGAAAGAACCCTCTCAAACAATTTGCCCGCCTCGTCCAGCAGCACGATGGGCCTATAGGCCGCGACCGAATCGGCAGGCCGTCCCGGCTTTTGCAGCAGGACCAGCTTCCCGCATTTCCAGCGCTCAGGGAAGCGTCCGGACGCCAGGCTAGCGTCCAACACCCCCCTGAGGTGGTCCGACATGTAGTCGAGGGCTCGGGCCATCACTCGGGCTGGAACCCCGTCCGGCCCGGGGGCGGTGTTCTTGGATCGAATCCGTAGAACAGCCGCCCCCAACTCCGATTCCCTGACGGGCGGAACATCGACCTCGCTGCCCCCGTCGTCTCCGGCTGATGCAGCCATCGACGGGGGTGTGTGCTCCGCCCGCTGCGGGAATAGGCCCTCGAGAAACAAACCCTATACCAACCCGTCTGGCAAGCGTGGTATAGTAGGCCAAAACCTCCTTTCTAAGGGGAGGCCTATGTCCAGCAGTGGACTATTAAAGGTTGATGATGATGATGATGATTGATGAACCTCTCTCACTCGGTGAGAAACAACGAAAGATTTTCGAAGGAATATGTTTATCCAGTGTCGCGGCGGACTTTACAAACATTAATGAATAAGACACAAACAAAGAAGACTCAGACTCAGAGCAAAATTTTGTGTATCACACAAAGTGATGTCCCATGTGGGGATTGAACCCACAACACTCAGCGCAATAGGAAGTGGTGAGGTGACCGCTTAAACCACTACGCCATCCGTGTGGTCATTTAACAGCTACATACATATTTAACGCACAAATTACTTAACATTGGTTTTCTATGAGGTCGTAGTATCCCACCGAGCGAGCCAGCATATTTGCACTGAAACATGACTTTCCCAGGAATTGAATCATTTGAAAATGGACCATTGTGATAGCGACCCTAAATATTATTCGAAATAACAAATCTTTTTATTTACTAACTACCAAACTCTTGCCAAAAATCTTATTATCACCGAGACACTTCCTCACATTCCTCGCTCCCACCAATAATATAACTGATCTAACCCTTTGTATTCACGGTCTATGTAAACTCTTCATTATCTAATAGTTACCGGTGCAAACGTTACGTCAAACTACACGGTTATTTACGGTTACCCAACTATAACCGTTAACTCATACATTATACGTTTGTGATCAATCGATTATCTATGGTATCTGCTACAGGAATTTTGAAATAGGTTACCTTAGAAATGACATAGACAACGGTATGGAGTGGGTATGTTTTCTTTATAGATGAAGAATTTGAATTAGTAAAACGGGTAGCATTTTAATTTTTCTACTTTATTTATAACTTGTACCATTTAATTAAATTTAAACTAATATCGACATACATATTTAAGTAAACAATATAGATGATGCAAATCCTAACCAAGTAGGTATATATTACACAGTTCGTTATAGGATTAAGTGATTCAGACCTTGCAGGATATTTAAATTAGTCTAAAATGTATATATATAGTTAAAAAAAGTCCTCATGATGTTGTGTTAAATAAAATATAAGACTTAAAAAAAGGTCTGTTCAAGTTTGTTATTTTTTAACTGTATCAATGAAAGCGAACATTTCAAATAATGAGTGATTTTATGATAGCAAAGTATAATATCACAAGCTGTTATGTATCTAAAAGTTTCAACAGAATGTACTGTTTGACGTTTAATACACAGAATTTGACTTGATACTGGTCATTGGTTCGATTCCTACTAAGGAAAAATAATTATGTGATGAGCACGATCATTGGTTCTGTGTGAGTATTATTTATATATATATGTATTTAGAAATATATATATTTATATTTACCTGGGTAACTTCTATAAGCTTGCCCCTTGTTAATATTATTAGGTGTCTGTATCAGGTATCTGTATTACGTCCTTTAACCCTCAGGGTCAAAGGACGTAAGTGTATGTACGTATATAAATATATAAACATATTAAAATCATAAAAATCACTTTATTATAGAACCCTTATTTATGTAGTTATAATTATTAATAAATCTACTGCCATCTTTAATGACTTTAGGCCAATAAAGTATAACAATAGCACCCTTAAAAAGCAACACACGTAAGTTACCAATTAAACGAAGCAGCCTACTTCGTTTAATTGGTAATACCGTTATTGTAACCAATAGGTTCAGGTATAGGGCTCCGTTATGGAGACAATGACTTGATAACTGTTACGGTTATGAATATTTAAATATAGTTTCATTTAAATGGAGCGTGTCTGGTGGTCTTCCTGTCGGAAGTGGTGATATGTTGAGGACGTAATGGGAACAGTATGGTGGTATAATTATTTAACCTAACAGTAAAGTGTTATTACTAAATACATACATATTGTAGATAGATTACACCGAGCCACAAAACAAATCATCAACCCTTAACAGTCTAGGACATAGGCCTCTCCTTAGAAAAGAAGTTTTGGCTTACTATACCACGCTGACTAAACAAGTTGGTTCAGAGTTTGTACCAGTTTTCCTTCTATTTTCAGTGCTGATCCTACGTAGTTTTGCTCCCTTAGTAAACTCTTGCGACATCCCCAGGATGAATAGGAGTGGTTGCACAACGTATTCTTAATCCGTCACCACACGGACTATGACGAGAAATAATCGTAGTCATCACACAATTTTATTTGTCCTATGTAGGAATTGAACCCACCCATTCGACTTAGTAGTCAAGATCACTACCCGCTAGATAAACTGGCCAATCGAATTACACATAGACCTTTGTAATAATAATAATCTGGGTTAAATTACAAAGTGTCTTCTAGTCCCAAACCATGTACTACTTGTTCTTTGGGTTTTAGAACACACATAAACGCATATAAAAGGAGACAAAAGTTTTAACCTGATTTATTTATAAAAAGACCAGCTGTTCCTCTAATTTTCATCCCACTCTTAAAGGTAGTGCAATGTTACATTCCTCAATGAACACTCCATCAAGTACAAAGCAAAAATAACTATCACAATCTGACTTGTAGTTCGAGAGATTTGCGAATTAAAACAAACATTATGTTTTATTGTTATTATTATATTAGTGAAAATGAAGTAATCATTCACATTATTTTCAATAATGAGAAGAAAAGCATTTCAATATTGTGTTGTGTTTTCCTTCGTATAATTAAATTTTTAAGAGCTACATAAATTATGTGACTGCCTTATTTGCAACCTCGTACTATTGAAAGCATCACTATTAACTAACAAAAACTTCCACATTCACTTTTAAAATCTTATCTAATTTGCTATTAAAACCGCCATGCGGCATACAAAAGACATCAACGCGCGCTTTGCGCTTGCGCATCTTATTAATTCTTTTTACACATTACATGTACAATGCACAATGGAATATTTTTTATATGGTTTTAAAGGAAATATACTCTTTGTTGGGGTTATAGAAACATCGTTTAAGTTCTTGCAACTGTTATTAGAGAAATAAAAATACTCAAAACTTTAGTATTTATTTTACTTGTACTTTAAATATCGAGGGGTAATTTTCAAACTTTGGCGTTCAAATATATTTAATTATCGATGTATATAAAAATGGTCTGACGTTTCGACCAGGTTACACTAGTAATGGTCACTGCAAGTGCTGAGGTTGCCTGAAAATTTTAAAAAGCTAAACCTCACCCTGGATATATTTCTAAATATATTTTAAGTAGATACAATTATGGGTTCTATTTACTACTTGTCAAAGTATAGATTTAATTGTAATAGGGAGTAAGTAATATTACACTAAGCTGATTGTAAAAATGTTCTAATATGATTTTGTTTTTATTTCAGGACGTCACAATATGGCTGTCAGTGCTACTAGCAGTTATCACATTAGGAACACCAGGTAAATATACTTAGTCATTTTAGTTTTTATGATTATTTAATCACCGGAGACTTCTAAATAAACATTGAAAGTTTCAACTTTATTTGGGCGGGTACTGAACCTTTACAACCGGGTCAGAACTTAAAATATTTGTACCCCTACAAATATTTTAACCAATATTGAACCGGCGCCTAAATTGGACCACTTCTGTTTTTCTACCAAAATGGCACTACTTTTTTACACTAGCAATACAAAAATAGCCACTAATACTCCGCCATTTTTTAGCGCTCGCTCTCGCTCGCTATATATAATAAATATATATGTGCCAGTTCCCGAGGGACTACTCTTTTGATTGGCAAGATACATATTAACCCTTGTAAAACCACTGGTGCAAGCTAGTTTAATACTATACTAGCTATTCGATGCAGTATCTCCTAGTATATATTTTCACTACTTACATAGCTTACAACCATCCCTAATGAAGAGTTTATCCAGCATAAAATGAATCATTCAATCTGATAGTTCACAGTTCAGTTACAATTAATTTAGACATTTAATATTATATGTATACTTTGTAAAAAATCATATAATATATACACATATACAAATATATCATATAGTACACCTATACATATTAATATTAAAGGACATAAATACATACACACGCAAATAGATACAAAAAACAATTTTGTATTAAAAGAAAAAGAAATCATTAGCGAGTTAATACTGCCAGTTTGACCAGACACTGCTTTACTTTTACTTTAAAGGAAAAAGTATTGGAAGCCAAGTCATTAACAAGGTGTACAAATTCAATAAGAAAACTATTTTGTTTTTTTCGCAAACACCTACCTTTAAATAGCATTTTATGACTCAAGATCGTTTTCAACTACACATTTCTTTAAATCATTGAAGACAGACAAGGATGTTATTCACAACTTAATATCACTCTAAAAGCAACTTTAGGTCTCTACGTTAAGGTCCTAATTCTATTTATACATTTAAGATAACATCTCAAGCTAATATAACTTACAAATTGGATTCTATGATTAAGAGAATAAGGTTTCTTTTGTAGTGAAATGTTTTTCAATAAAAGAGCCGCGCTGCATTCACAACAATGCCTCATTAGTCCCACGTACACACCTACTTGTACGAGTATGCATCGCGGGTGGAGCAATGACCTCAGAAATATTTACATGCGTCTGCATTTACGCATGCTGGAAACCTTTTAGTGTAAAATAAATAAAGGAGTTTAGGTACTATAAATCCTTCAGGCTGGTAAAACGTGACTATAGGAACGAAATGTCTTTTAAATATATAAACATCTTTTGTCCTCGCTTCGCTCGACTAAGCATAATATGGCACTGTATTTTTATCTGTTTTTTTAAATATGATATGTTCTTTTCGATGCCCTTAGCCACATGTATTTAAAATATCATGATGGAAGCAAACCAAATTGAAATAAAAATTAAATTAAATTAAAATTATTGATACGCACTTAATATTACAGATAAACACAATTATAGATAAATGATAGATCCACGCTTACAACATAAGCCATTCACATCACATCAACCTTTAGTTGTCCACTGCCGGACATGGGCCTCTCCTTAGAAATGATAATTTTGGCTAATCTACAGTATATACATTACAATACAATATTATGTTGGTTTGTGTACGCTTCAAAAACTCAAAAAGTTCTGCACCGATTGAGATCAAATTTTGACACTATATACATTCACAAATTGTTTTTACAACAGTAAAATTTCATAAATTAATACTCATATCGTAATAAATAAAACAAAGATAGATTAGTTCCACCATTTATAACTCAAGAACTACTGGGCTGATTTCTATGATGTCTGATATATTGAATTTGTCTTCGCCTCAAATAACAGAATAACATATTTTTAAGAATCCGAGAAAAAAATGATGAATAAAATTCATTTTCTCAAACATTATGTTTGAAACCTAACGCGAATGTAGAGCAGAGCTGTTAATGAAAACGCAGGTGAAACTCCAAAGAAACTACTAGTATAGACATGAAATATATATGTATATCTACAATCTGGTTCCTTCAAATTTCTTCTTGAATAACGAAAATACCTCCGTCTCAAACTATAAACTACAGTGAGTAGTGACGTCAGTGAAGTAGGTGTTTATTTGTCAATTTTCCGATGTTAGTTACACTGATTATACGGCTGATTGCGGGTGGCTCAGCGACGGCGACACCATGAAATGTTTTATTACAAGCGCTTTCTGCCAATCAATAGTTGTAGAAATACAGTCGTGTGTTAACGGGTTTGAAATTTGAATCTAATTTTAATCTCCGATGCAAGAAGAGTAACGTATATGCGTAGATTTATATATCTGTAGCTGTCTAGTCTGTGGTATCATAGCTCCTAAACGGAATAACATAAAATCCTTAGTCATCATTAAATTCTTGCTACATTACGAAAGTTTATTTACTTAAAGTGATATTTTCTTTCATTTCTTTTTTTTACAAACTAAAATAAATAATAGTACTAAATAAGTATATTTATTTTATTTAAAGAAAACCAACAGCTATGTAAAATGACAGTATTATCGACATAAACTCAAGAACTAAATATAATTTGTGACCTTAAGAAATCAACTAAATTAAAGAGGTTAATTGGGTCAAGCTCCATTAAAATTAATTGGCAACTTACTGACAATTTATTAACTTATTGACATTTATTTTGCATAGCTCCAATTAGAAATATACGTAAATGTAACTATGAAATTATTAAGACACACATATACAGCCCCATTTTAACCACCTTAGAAAGCGGGTAAATAAACCTACCATTATCTACTTTATGACTTTGAATTTAAGACTTACTTTATGTCAGCCTAAATACCAAACAATTCATATTGCAGCATTATATTTCTGTTACACAATAAACTGTATTAATTTCACAATAAAATTGTCAGTTAAACCATAAAATACACATTAATACACGTTTAATTGATCTTGGATTGGTACTGTTGTAATAAATGTGTATTAATTTTTTAGTTATAGTACATTTATCCGAAATTATAAGCAATAGGTATTTATTTTTTAGTTGGTTCATTAAAAATAGCCTTCGTTCAATATATATGTTACACAAGTTTTAGTTGAAGAGCCAGACTCTTTAACTAAAACTTGTGTAACATTTAGTTGAATAGTCGATTGTTACAAAACTCTCTTAAGAAGACTATCTCTATAACTCTATGACTACCTACTACTAAGGTTCGGGTTTCTCTAAGAATTACATTCACTTTCATGAGAACACATTGTTAGTAATACTTACTATAATGCCAGAGGTCGTGGGTTCGATTCATACACAGGACAAGTTATTGTGTGATGTGATGAGCACAATATTTTTTTGTGTGGCTATAAAATATAGGGGAGAGTAACCAGTATGTCGGGGCACCAGGGACTTCCTTTCTAGGGTATACCTGGTTCCCCGGCTAATAGTACCCGAGACGGCGTGCGGTTTTAGTCGGTTCGAGTCCGACATGCCACCGACACCACGGTGGTATCCGAGGGGATTTCCGCACGGAAAAAAAAAAAAAAAAAGGGGGAGAGTAACCAATATTGAACCGGGCGCGGCGCTTAAATTAGGCCACTTCTGTATTTCTATCAAAATGGCACTGTATGGTAACTCGAATGCTGATAAACATACATATATATTTCTAAATACATACATATTATAGATAAAGTACACCCAGACACAGAACAAATGACAGTGCTCATCACACAAGTATTTGTCCTGGGTGGGAATCGAACCCACGACCTCCGGCGTAGGAGTCAGGGTCACTAACCACTAGACCAACAGGCCAGTCAAATTTTAAATGGGACCAAGCTAGTTTAAACACTTATACTATTTACTCAGTATTTTTGGCAATGAATTTTTAGCTCTGATTCTCTTAAAATCTGATAAAACGTGTTACGTTAAAGATTTTACATCGAATTATTGTTTTTCTTTTAATTATTAAATGTTGTTTTAAATTATTAAATCTTTTAATGAGATAATCCATAACAACCGATTTCAAAAACATTATGTTTATTAATTTAAGTACTTAGGACATGTGCTGACCTCTGACCTCAAGGACAATGATGACATAAAGAGGGAACGGAGGGCGCTGTCAGTGAGGGCGAACATAATAGCTCTCAAACTTACACTTTTCAGATCGTATTGCTCTTCATTTTACACGTGCAGCTTGTGGGCTGACTATACTCAAGCATCGTACAGTGCCCTCCGAGTCCGATACAATAACGGCTTCAGGGTGCTGCTGGGGCTGCAGCGTTTCTGTAGTGCATCAGAGATGTTTTCTGAACATCGCGTAGATTGTTTTTATGCTACGATGCGTTAAAGATGCACACCTCTGGTGCGCAGGGTGCGCAGGGTCAACAGTATCCTGAACATGATCTCTGGTCGGCTGGACTGTGGTTACATCAACCGTTGCTGCGCAATTGCGTACGGAATGGTGCAGCAATGATTGTTGTGTGTGTGTATAATATGTGTCATCTTTCTTTGTTTTATGATTTGTTTTCTTTATGTACTGTACTAACACTAGTCTCTAGAATATTGTTACTAACAAATTGGACACCATGGTCTGCGATAAAAAGTTTATTATTATTCTTATAAAAAAAGTTGGTTTTTAATTAATTTTTTGTTTTTTTGATAGACTAATTCCAAAAATAAATAATTTCATATTTTACCCGTTTTATTAGAAAAAGGGCGATAATATCTGAAAGTTGAAACGGTCATAACTTTCAAATGATTGAATTGAATTGAATCCCAAAGATAGCTATTATAAGTGTTTAAAGCTGGTGTCGCATTTTCGTGGGCAGCCTGTATAGTTCTCTTTAAAGAAATACATTATTGAAGTTAAAATTATTTTATAATTAGTTGCAGTAAATGCTATGTGCACATCTGTTAAGTTATTACCAACTTTAGTTTGGACATCGACAAATCGACGATTGCTTCTGCCTTTCACAATAAATTTCAAAATTTATTTGTTTATTGAAAGATTTTGAGGTTAACGTGTCATTTAAATATACTGAAATTCATTATTTTATATTATACTAGCTGACCCCGCAAACGTTGTTTTGCCATATACAATATTTCAAAAAAATTGACAAAAAAAAAATGGGGTACAAAAAAAGATGTTGGCCGATTCTCAGACCTATCCGATATGCACACAAAATTTCACGAAAATCGGTCTAGCCGTTTCGGAGGAGTTCAACTTCTAACAGCGTGACACGAGAATTTTATATATTAGATTGATTACTAATATTCTGTTATATATTACACAGTGCTATCTAGACTCTAACTAAGTATGGTTTGTAATATAATGCTTAGAAATACTCATATTAGTGTCGAAAGGACATTTTTATTCTTCGAAAATATGGCAGTCGATTAAACTACTACTAACCCATATGAGTCATAATTATAAAAGTACATACTGCTCAGCAAACAGCTCCAAAAGTTTTACATACAAAAACTAGATATAAAACATTGACTTAAGATTACTATAGGTTAAAATTCAACTAGGGTCCTTAGTCAAGAGTCTTAGGGAATAAACTGACGCTAGTCCCTTCTATAGCACTTGCACAAAAAACTAAATTGGTTCCTCTTTTGTTACAGTATCATCAAGCGAGCCTCGCGTGGTGTGCTACTACACAAATTGGTCGGTATACAGACCCGGCACAGCGCGCTTTAACCCGCAGAACATCAATCCATATCTATGCACGCATCTTATTTATGCATTTGGAGGTTTCACCAAAGATAATTCGCTGAAGCCTTTTGATAAATATCAGGATATTGAAAAAGGTAATATTATCAATTACTTAAAATAAATTTGGTAGCAAAACAAGCTTTAGAAATGTTGAAATATAATTATTATATATATAAGATATAATATATATTAAGAGTATTACTCTTTAGTATTCTAGAATTACAGTAATAAACTTAAAATAAGCAATATAGGTAAATATTAATTGCATTTCCCTCATCAATATACATATCTTTTGAGTCCCATGTTGGGCGCCACTGTTGATGACATTTGCTCAAAAATTGCATTCGAATTCTAACAAAAAGTTCTCAACGCGACAGGTGGTTATGCGAAGTTTACTGGACTGAAGACATACAACAAAAACTTGAAGACACTGCTGGCGATTGGTGGTTGGAACGAGGGGTCCACTAGGTTCTCCTCTATGGTCGCGTCGCGGGAAAGAAGAAAGGAGTTCGTCAGGAATGCAATCAAGGTTTGTGGATGGCTTAACTGAGTAGAATTTGCTAAATACCTGGTTCTGGTGGTAAACAACAAAAGTAGTTGCTTACTTTAGGGGCTTCGAGACAAGTCCTAGTTAAGTTTGAGATTGCTGCTTGGAACTAAGGGAATATTTAGAGTAAACCTTATACAGTACGTTGTGTGAATTTAATATTAGACACATATGGTGGGAGAAATGATAATGGTCTTCAATTTATTTATACGGCAAAAAATGCAACTGAAATCTAATTGTAATTTGGTCTTGATAAATTATTATCTATAAAATTTTCTAAAGAATATGCTCCTATAATGTTAAAACTTGTTTAGCAATTTTTAATGGCGATTTAATAACAAAGTATTCAAATTAATCTGTTTTTCTTGTATTAAATACTACGACTTCATATGCGTCCCTCAAAAGGAATCAATTTTCACCATTTTTTGTAACATTTTCCATTGATACTCAGCTTCTTTTAGTAAGCAGTGTGATTAGCATGTTCAACCAAACAAACAAATAAACTCTTTATAATATGAATATTAGGATACACATTGCTTCAACTTTAAATTCAAAACACGACAGAACGGAATACATGTCGGAATTATGACTATCATAGTATAATTATAGCTTCTATTTCAGTGAAGCATTTATAATAATAATAATAATCATTTATTTCAGGTATAAACCCATAGGCAAAATCACAAAATCATAAAAATAACACAATTACAAAATCATAATACTACAAAATAACAAAATAAAGACAAAAAAAATATAATTATTACTACGATTCATTACAATAAAAGAATAAAGTTAACAATAAGTACAATAAAATACGTCATTTACCATTACAAATCGCACATGCTGTATCGACAACTATGATAAACCACCCGGATAACTGAGTTTGCTGTATTTCTGATTCTGTTCTCTACTATAGATAGATTCTATTCTATAATGTATTTTTAAAATAAATAAAAACATAATAATTCTGGTTTTAGTTTAGATCAGTCTTGGAATTCTGGTTTCTCGTACAGCTCGTGACAAAGTAACGATTCCTATACCTCTTACACGATCCATAGAAAATTCAAATCATTTATTTTCCTACAGACAGATGTTGTGAGTCAAAGATATTTTCCATTTACGTATAAAACATTAATGTATTTATGTCCGTGTGGTGACGTATAAAGAATACACAGTGTCACCAACCCTATTCATCCCATGGGTGTCGTAAGAGCCAACTAAGAGAGCAAACTACGTAGGAAAACAGCACTATAGAGAGAAGGAAAACTTGACACAAACCCTATACCAACGAGTCTGGCCAGCGTGGTATAGTAGGCCAAAACTTCCTTTCTAAGGAGAGGCCTATGTCCAGTAGTGGACTATTAAAGGCTGTTGATGATGATGATTTATTTATAATTACATCACATATATTGAAAAGACATATTACTTACTTTCAAGTTCAAAGATAATTGAAGAAAATCTATAATTTAAACTTGCCATAATTTTATCCTAACGGTAATTGCATTTTCTTCTTATTCTGTTACAATATTTCATTTCATTTGTAACGGCTGTCATAATCTGATTAATGTGGGTAAATCTATACAATTTCTCATGGCGATGCCAGTGTTTGTTAGATTGGGTAAAATTTGATTTGTACTTTCTAAATCTCACTTCTAATTTACTATCACGATAATAAAAATTGGAGGTATTATATATTTTTTTATTTTTCCACAATTTATTATATTTAATGTTTACACAAGAGATTAATTTTACAATTTCAAAAATAAATTAAAAGATTGTGGACAAATGCTACTACACTATCAATGATTTTTAATAGATACAAATTTGTAATCACATTTTATAAATCTTATGACCTGTAGTTTAATAATTTTGAAGCATTTACATATACAATATTAATAATTAGTTTGTGGACCATTGATATCAAAAATATTAATTATTCGTTTTTTTTCTTTATTCATTCCACATTTAGTTTAATTTTTATCGACCCTAATTTTATAATTTTTAGGCAGAATGTACACGGATCATTTAAAACCATTCTATCTCTAATTTGATGTACTTACATTCATAGCAAATAAACTTGGATTTGATTTAAAAATAATTTATTTAAAAACAAATATACGAACTTTATTTGTTATAAATAATATCAGAGCACAGAGATTTTTACGAAAGTAATATTCAGCATTAGTTCAGTAAATTAACAAATTTCTGTAATGGATTATAAATATTATCTTAATTCACTTTCTCTTTTTTTCTCTAGTTTCTCAGACAAAATCGCTTCGATGGTCTGGACCTCGACTGGGAATACCCTGCCTTCCGTGACGGAGGAAAGCCAAAGGATAAGGAGCACTACGCTAGGTTCGTTAAGGAGTTAAGAGAGGAGTTCGAAACTGAATCAGAGAAAACTGGCAAGCCAAGACTTCTCCTTACCATGGCTGTACCTGCTGGAATTGAGTACATACAAAAAGGATTCGACGTTAAGACTTTAAACAAGTAAGTGGTCATTTTTATTGATGTGTTGTGTGAATATAGTTTTGAGGGTGTGTGAATATTGTTTTTGATTTAAGACATGAATTACATACTTCTTTTTTCTTTCTTACTTTGATCGTCCTCTAGATAGGTTATTTCATCATCAGCCTATCGCAGTCCACTGCTTGACATAGACCTCTCCCATTGCACGCCACTTAGGCGATTTTGAGTTTCTCGCATCCCAAAATCATTTGTGACAGTTTCTTTAAATGCCATTTAATCCTTAACTTAAGAGTTAAGTAAATTGTATATATATATGTATTTAAAAAAACATTCAATTATTTAAGTTATTGTTATTTTTTACATTTTGATGGAATGCCAAGTCCTATTTATACAATTATAAAGAAGAAAAACCAAAATTGATATAAATTTTTAAACTAAATGGCTTTGTGTGTTACATGTCCGAATATTTCCGATTCCGAGTCCGATTATTATTTTGATATTCAAGCCTTTAAAATTTAAAAAATCTGTTCGAGATTGTTATAGTCTACCGAAAAATAATTACATATTAATACAATATGTATATTTATTGTTGTAGTTCCGGTAAATCATTTATTGATCCTAAAAATTAAGAAACCAATTCGTTCATTCGACGATCTACATTCAATAATATTAGTGACGTCATCTTTATAACAAGGGACCTTGTGCCTCAGAGAATGTAATCTGTCGGCCAAGGTTAACGTCTGCGGTAGCTATCTGATATGATCAACAAGTCCAAAGATTAGTTTGACAACTGGTGTCCAAATTGAAGACAGCTTAGTATAACACTTAAGCGATTGCCCGGAATGCTTCACGGTTTGTCCGCTGTCGTCAACAGTGGCTAAAATTTTCAGGTCATTAGAACACTTGCTTTTCTTTTTGTTTATAATGACGGCTTCCGTATTCGGGATATTCATGTAACGAATATCCGGGACTTTATGAATATTCATGTAACGAACACAAAGAACACCAATTTGTGGATTCCACAAAGTCTTGTCCCATGTAAGATCGAACCCACAAAACTCAGCAACACTCAGCAGGAAGTGGCGAGGTGACCGCTTAAACCACTACACTATACATGCAGTCTCGCGTGTCGTAATAAATAATTATGTATATATAATAGAATTAACGAGATCATGTAATCGGTATTAAGTATTTTATATGCAATACTTAATACCTTGTTTGAATTGCCTGGGGTTTCGACCAGTTTGCACTGACCGTAGTCAGAGCTAAATTACACTTCACGTTTGCATAGTTTCATCTTTCTTTTAGATAATAATTGAGTGTCACATCAAATGAGTATCTTTTTACTCCAGTAGGTAACCGTTCATTCGATGCATTTCTTCATGAAATAACAGGATATGACATCAGGTCGTCCCCAGGAAAAACAGTGTGTGGTGATCACGATCATATTTCACTATTTATTTTTTTTATATATTCGAACCTACCTCCAACATTATCGGAGCCTATTCTCGCTAATTCTCTTTGTCATTCAAGTTCTATCACTTATGCTTCTCGCACTTTTATTCTTCATACTATGTCTTTCTTACACACATGTCTTTTATTCTTTTGGTGGGTGGGATTCCCACAATTAAACCTAAGCTTACTACTTTTCTCTTTATTTATTTTATAGTACGGGGGGATTAAACTATTCAACACTTTTTTATTTACTAAACTTCTTACATCACATTACAGCTTATTCCTATTTACAACAGTTTTATATTACGGCTTATTTCTGTGGCGACTCCCACATAAACATACTACAGCGCCATCTAATGAAGACACATCGAACTACGGAGTAACTACAAAAATAAGAATTGCTAATCCTGTATCGCGATATAAAGAATTCCTTCGCCGATTAGCATATATACAACTTCCCAACTTCAACCGTTGGGCCGCGGCCCGCCAGGCATGATCACCTCGCCTGGTCGGAGGATCCTCCCTTTGTGTTGGAGGGACATGACACCCGTTCCTCCACATTTCTATTGACAACGTATTTCACAATTTATAATATGTATGCATTTATAAATATATCTTCATCCTCGGAGCATTGTCCCAAACTGAGTCTGGGTCGACTTGGACAACACGGCTGAACTTCGATTTTTTACTTGTAGCGTCTGCCATCACACCAGACTGAAGTACTAGACGATATCGAAGTTCTGTAGATAGACTCTTATAGGACTTTTTAGGGCTCCGAATACCCGTAACGATTGCCTCAGATGTCCGTATGGCAACAGAGATCGACCGCCTAACATGTTCTTTGAGGCATTTAGAAATATATAAGTATTATTATCTAGAAATATACAGCACTGTAAAGAGAAGGAAAACTTGAAACAAACCCTATACCAACCCATCTGGACAGCGTGGTATAGTAGGCCAGAATCTCATTTCCAAGGAGTTTCTATGTACAGCAGTGGAATATTAAAGGCTGTTTGATGATCTAGAAACATTTGTGCAAGTTGATGGGAATAGGTTTACCCCTTATTACGTAACTTACAATTACAATTTACAAAATACAACAAATTAATTACAAATTACATTTACAATTTACTTCGATATGCTCCTGTATCACGCGCCATAAGGCTTATTAATATTATTTCAATACAAGTAGATATCTACAACTGTAGCCTGCCGAACTTCAAAGAAGTCGCACAGAGATGTATTACAGCAAATGGTTTTTATGTATAAATAACTGTTACTTACTGTTTTTACTTACAGTATCGTTTTGGGATAAATCCTGTAAAGACACTGTAATTGTTTTTAATAAATAAATAAATAAATAAATAACTGGGACTAAAATTACAATCGCCAAAATAATGGCGTTGAATACGTCTCTACCTCCCTTCGGAGATAAAAGGCGTGAGTGTATTAAAGAACGATAGCTTATAAATGAACGGCCAAGTGCGTGTCTAGCCACGACTAATGTAGGATTCCGTAGTTATTTCATATTATAAACATTTCACATTAACTGTTTCTGCGCCCTATAACGTCTACTTAGATGTGATAGTATTCCTTGTAAATTCGTTGTATATGTAACTACTATGATTTTGTTCAAATCTCAAAATACTGCCTTTTGGGTAGGAGGAATGGGGAGGAGGGATGCCACTTGACTGTAACAAAAATCGGCGCTTTACGGCTTAGAATCTCACAAAAAGATACCTTAATCAAAATATTGTTTTCACAAACCCTTATTATTTTTAAAAGACCTATCCAATGACATCCTGCATCATAGGATGGATGAATATAAACAAAATACATCCCCATTTTAAAGGTACCTTAATAAAAAAAAAGTTTTCTATTGCCACTTTGTCGGCTTTATTAGTATGTATGTTCATGCAAAGGTTTCCAGCACTAATACTATAAGGGTTATGACGAAACTATAAGGGTTCCGTTTTTACCATTTCGACTATAGAACCCTAACAACTTCTATTGCGAAATTAAATACCTCATAAAATAAACATTAGATAGTTGACATTAAGGTGGTAACACATTGCCAAAGAGCACACAGCGCAAATACTTAATTGTCGGGTGTAAATAAGTTGCGACATGTTGCATACACTGATCGTGTAGACTTGCCTAATTTATTAGTTCAATGTCGCGTTGCTAGATGTATTATGTTTTGTGTGTACAAGCCTAATAATCGCTGTTAGAGAAGACTCTTTAGTGAAGCAGATACAAGCTCAGTTTTTATTAGATTCATAGATTAAACTATTAATATTTAAAAGTTGTATGATTTGGTTTTTAACTTTTTATACACACACACACGTACGTCTGATTCCAAACTAAGCAGAGCCTATATTATGACCAGACCGCTGATAAACATAGTAGTTATACTCAATACTTTATTGCTTGCTATACAATGGCTCGGGGTTCGTATGCCGTCTGTACGGAAGGGCCGACTCAATAGTATGGTCCTTTCTTCCAAAGGCCAAACTAGACCCTATACTGCACTCACATAGTTCCCTTTAACATTGTGCACTGGCTTAAAAAATAAGACACCTCTGTAGTTTGTTCCGGCGTTTCTTGCAAGAGCCAGTCTTAGGAAATGCCGGCGCCTTCTAGTTGTAAAGTCCGACTTGTAAAAATTTCTGAAAGGATTTACTTGCAGAAATAACTATCATTGCACTTCCATAATGTACGAGTAAATTGCACAGTTGGTAAAAAATTAAGCTATAAGCATAGCATAGTAGAGAGAAAGAGAGAGGGGAATAATTATTATTATATAAATAATCTGTATACATAGCCATTATTTTTATTGCACTAAGTTTAAATTGAATTTGACTATATTGTTATGTATTTGTTATAAAGGTTATCATTAAATGTATTTTTCTGTTATATTTTATTTAATTATTTATTTCATTTGGTTTTTGTCAAGCTTGACTATGTTTTCATGGTGATTTTTTCCTATGCAAGTAGGTAATATTTAATTATTCTACTACATTCACACAACGCCATCTAGTCTCAAACTGAGCAAAGCTTGTGCGATGTGTACTAGACAAGTGATATAAATACATTTATACTTTTTTACATATTATGCGTAGAAATAGCCAGACCAAATAAAACATTAAATGTTCTTGCACACAAATGTTTGACTTGAACGGGAATCGAAACCGCAATCTTTTGCGTAGCAGTCCGTTACAGTCTTACAGGGGGAGAGCCATGCTTCGGCACGAATGGGCCGGCTCGACCGGAGTGATACCACGGCCTCACAGAAAACCGGTGTTGCAATTCTTTCGTTGCCTTTCACTGAGTGAGTGAGGTTACCGGAGCCCAAATCCCCCCTCCCGCTGACTCGAGCGGGAGGGACCCCAAGGGCAGCAACGCACTTGTGACTTTTGAGTTGCAGGTGCCTATGGGCGGCGGTAGTTGCTTACCATCAGGTGACCCGTCTGCTCGTTTGCCCCCTTATACCATAAAAAAAAAGTATACACGAACCCACGACCTCTGACTTAGATTATCTGGCGATTTCAGAAGTCATTCTGAGGTGACGCTTATAGTGATAACAATGGTGAAAGATTTCTGAAATCATATCACAGAGTCGTAATACACAATAGGCCAATGTTACCCGCAGTACATTTCGTAAGTACCACCTGATTTGAATGTAACACAATACACCTCGTTAATTATGTGAATAAACAATAGAAAAAGACTAGTACGGTGACCATGGAGTTTGGGATTCGACCCTTAAAATACATTAAAAGGTGATCTATTCGTATATTTACCACGTATTGCTAAAGGGCCTTTTTTTGGCTTTAACAAACCATTGGCATGGATTCTTTGTTGATGATGTCCAACAGTGGACTAGTAAAGGCTGTTGATGATGATGATGAAGTGTTATGGGTTCAATCCCCACATGGGGTAAAACTTTGTGTGATCCACAAATTGTTGTTCTGAGTCTGGGTTCTTAGTCTTTCATGAATATTTTGTAAAGTCCCCTGCGATACAAAATAGTGAAGCTTTTACAAAAATAAAAATAAAATATCTTCTTGTGACAAAATATATTTATATACCAAATAAATTAATATAATTATCCTTAGCCTGTGTCTTATCATTATCTTAATATTACTGACCAAGAAATTATTTTGCAGCTTAACATTTCAATACCTAATAGAAATACTTTTCGGCTGATTTGACCGGAGTGATTTTACCAACTTAAAGAAAAACTAGTGTTAAGCAAACCTTTCGTTGCTCTTTGCCCAGTTAGTAAGGTACTCCCTCCCCCTCACAATGCTGGGAGGGAGAACACTTAAAAGGCTGCAAGGCATTTGTGTTTTTTCAGTTATTGGTATAAATGGGTTGCTGTAGCCACTTACTATCACGTGACCCGATCTCGCCTGCCTCGGTAGTGCAGTTGTAGCTTATGCGACTGATGTCAGTCAGTCAGTCTCAGGTTCGATTCCAAGGTCGGACCAAATATTTGTATGATCTGCAAATGTTTGCTTCCGAGTTTGGGTGTTTTCTATATAGTAGATACAAGCAGTATCAATCAATCTAGTGTTCATAGTATAATCTCTGCTTAGTTAGAAACTAGATGGCGTTGTGTGTCAGATGTCCGAAATATTATGTACAATACAAGACCCGTCTGCTCATTTGCCTCCTGCACCATACAAAAAAACCTTATTCTTTATAACTCCTAGACATTATTTGACTAGGTTGCATTTGCCGTGGTCACAGCCAGACACCAGCTAACTTTCTACAGATTAACTCATATTATTTCAAAGACACTTATTGTTTTTACACAATCAAAATTACTTTTTGTAATGTCAAATATAATCACCGTAAAGAAATTTAGTTGTCGGACAGTGTCAAAATAACGAATGTCGCAAAGAAAACACAAAAAATTGAATAAAAAAGTAAGTTATAATAAACAATTACTTTAACATGTATTTTTTATGATTTTAGAATAGAACAGAATACTCTTTATTGTAGACCAACAATTTGTTTCTTTTAAAGGAGTACATCAAATTAATAAACAAGAACACATGGCGGTTTTGTTGATTGTTATAATTGTCTTTCTATGAAATGTTTAAATTACGAGTGTTTAGGTCTTTCGTTCATTAAATGTTCCAAAAAATAAAAAATCGTCTATCAATATATACCTCGGATATGATCATTTTTATTTATAAGCGTTGTCTTAATAAAAAAAGAGTCTATTCCTTGGTCTATTATTGACATGTAAACCATTAAAGTGGCGGCAGGTTAGAACTATAAGCATTTTTGCATGAACGTCGTAGCATTTATTTTTATTGAAGAGGTTATCAAAAATAATATAAAATATATACTAATTATCTACTAAATATACAGACATTTATAAAGCACTTTACTTATATTCATAATATTATAAAAATAATTTATACATAATATATAGGTATCTAGAAAAATATACGCATATTTTATTAAGAAATAAATATTTGACAGAAATAGGCTTGCTTCCTATTACGTTTACTTAATTATTACGTTATGTTATGTTATAAACATGTTTATATACAGTAAATTCAAATTCAATTATTTTATTTCATGAAATTGGCTACCAATTTTATTACTCGAAATCATCCATTGTATTTTTTAATATACTCAAAGTAGTATTTGTTCGAACAGTTTCCTTAGGAATGCGGATTCAGTATGTAATGTAATCAAGCCGTTTAGAATCTATGCAGTAACACTAGGTCATGTAGAAACTTTACGCGCCAATTATTATATAATTTTATATTATCGGTATTACGCCTCGGAGGTAATTCTCTCGGAAGTTTTATTAATGTCAATTAACCTGCTTACTAAACAGTCCAGTTCTTATTGTTAGACATCTTAAACTATGTCAGTTATATTTTTTTGGGTTTTAGCTTCTGTACATCTTCACTTTTTTTATTAAAAGACAATAGATTTCATTGTTTTAATTATTGTCTATTATCTGCACGGTTCTTGTCTGTGGTAACACTTTATTTTTATGTTTTATTCGTTACTGTTTTAAAATAGTTTTTATATTTCAAACAATTCAAGCATTAATTAATATATAATTTTATTATATTCTTTTTTTATTATCTTTATAGATACTTAAATATTATTTTGTTGTATTTCTGTAATTGGACTCAGCATTTTTAAAGATATATTATAAGAAATCTGAAATATTCATCCTGTGGGTGTCGTAAGAGCCGACTAAGGGAGCAAATTACGCAGGACAACAGCACTGCAAAGAGAAAAAAAACTTTAAACAAACCCTGTACCAACCCGTCTGGCCAGCGTGGTATAGTAGGCCAAAACCTCCTTGCTATGATGATGATGATGATGATGAGAAATATTAAATTAGTTTTATTGTATTAATGTATTTGTTTCTCAATACTCAATATTCAATCTTGTCTTTACAAAAGAAGTAAATGTTTTAATGGTAGCATTTTATGACGTCACAAGTTTGTATTTCATTGGAAAGGATCTACCATTCCGACTTTGGATAAAAGAAGAACAACTGATAGACTTGGCAATCTACTACCGTATTGTGTAAACCTATTATACGAATTGCAACAGCGCATATAAATAAATTTAATCGAAATATTGCATTTACATAATTATTTTTACTACCTACTTACTATGCGGTAACAAATACTGATGCGTTTATAATATCTCAGGTAACGAAACAAAGATGGCCGCCCCACAAACATATACCAAAGACAATGTGATGTGTTAATTCTTGGTTTCCCTGCGTCCTTCAATGCTCTGGTTAATGCAGATAGCTCTGTTACAAAAGCTCCCGTGAACACAATAGATTATATTATCTACTTGTTTAACAATATGTTAACAACTTAGCCTGTTTATTCAATTCTACATAAGTTCAAAATGTTGAAATACCTATATAGACCACGATGTTAAGTGGTCTCATTTCTTTCCATAGACATTCCCGTTCGTAATAGAACTTTGATAGCTTAATTTCGCCTAATATAATAACCTAAGCCTGTATAAAAAATATTTTTTATCTACCACACAGATGTAATATATTACTATGTTAAGCTCTGAAATTTTTATCGAAACCCGAAGTACTTCCCAATTGAAGCTGCCCGATTAAAAAAAAGCCTTCTTCTACGTAGTAGGGTTTCAGAAACTCTTTTCTTTTACTTTTTCTAAATGACTTGAACCGAACAAATATTGTGACCTAAGTAAATACTAGCATATACTGTAGCTGACACTAGAAATATTAGCATCTGGCAAGGCTAACATTTATCTCAAATTATAATCCTAATTACTTCCTTAAATTTAGCTAAATAATTACGTAGTTACTATAAAAGGAGGTCGAGTAGGAGGACTTGTTACGAGTAAAATTTGCCGTCTAGAATACTAGTGATTTGAAACTATGTAGTATTGGTTACAAAGTTCAAGGTGAACATCCACTGGTGACAGAGACTTGTGAAAGTATTACGAAATGACAAGTCTCCTGACAAGCTAGGTGTTCTTAATTTAAATTTCGGTATCTACAACAGATAAAAAATTGATTTTAAATGTCATAATATCTATTTCCATTTTTATCCGAACTTAATAGATTGTGAGTGGGGTATTAATGCCAAAGTGAAATAGTAAATTGATATTGCAAGTTTTTATCGACAACAACAAGAGCTCACCACAGTAATTGGTGCTTGTTTAACAATTAAGTTGTACAAAAAATAATTAAAGACTGTTCCCACTATCTATTCAAACTTCTTCATTCTTCTTGAATAACCTTCTACCTCCCTCAAAATGCTAAGATATCTTGTCTTCCACCAAAAAAAAAGAAGATAACACTATCTAATTGTACGTGAAAGTTTACCTCGGCTCCAATTCAAGCAGTCATCTTGATTGTCTCTGACATCCTTCTACTTGGGCCTCTTTAGCTAAACTTAGGTACAGTAGTTAATTTATCTTTAGGCTGTTATTTTCACACCTCCTCTCTTTTTCAGGTATCTGGATTGGATGAACTTGTTGACTTACGATTACCACTCCGCATTTGAGCCAGCAGTCAACCATCACGCACCACTCTATGCGAACGAGGAGCCCAATGAATATAGTGTCGATAGCGAACTTAATATTGTAAGTATTTGTATGAATTAAAAACTGTAGCTATTTGGTAAAGAATAATTATATATAATCGTGAACATAATTGTTCTGGCACGTATCAATGTGGATACCATAGTCTATGAGACTATCACAAAAAATCATTGCTAAGCAGTACTTTCGTTGATTTTCACCAAGTGATGTCATCTAACAACACCCTAAAAAAAGGGTGGATGAAAGGCGCGTCTGAAACCCAGAACCTTGGCTAACCTTTATTGGGTACAAATTGACACCTATTATCCCAGGACAGCGCTTATAATGACCGAAGAAGAGAGAAATGCGAATGCTAATGATCTTGTACCAAATATACTAATAATTAAACCGGATTCAGACGTTCACCTGTCGCTATAAGACTATTGGTTTTATTAATAATTTCATGGTTACATAACATGTCTTGACTATGAAATTTTAGCTGTCATATGCGACTCAGTATTGATAGTTACTTTTCACTATAAATTGTTATATAAATAAATTAGTAACATTTCAGTGATTGACACCATCGAAATGTCAAATCTGAATAAATCATTAAACAAGCTTCTTAAATTAAAGAACAAGTCAACTTTTACTCAAGAGATCGCAATAAAGCAGTAATGTTTTTTTTAAATGTACCAAAGAAAAGGTATTCGGTTATCACAAAGGAGATAATGGTTAGGGCAGACAGCGGGTGGAACGATACGGCGACGATATTTCTGCGGCACACGTAGCGTCACGGTCCCGCCCTGCGCGCTGTCTGCCCCCAACCTTTCTCTACTTTCATTCGCTATCTATAAATAGCAGATGCCCATTGTATTTTTAGTACGGTCAGAAATTATATTTGCCAAAACTTTGTGCTCTAACCTTGCAGCTCACAGAAAAAACTATCACGGCACTCGGAACCCCTCATGTTCTAGGTTATGAAGTCTTAAATCAATAATATTTTTTAAATATTACTATCTGTTTATCATTACAGGATTACACCATCAAGTTTTACCTCGAACAAGGAGCTGATGCCGATAAACTGGTGCTCGGTATACCAACCTACGGTCGATCGTACACACTGTTTAACCCAGATGCGGTCGAGCTTGGCTCCCCCGCTGATGGGCCTGGAGAACAAGGAGACGCTACCAGGGAGAAGGGGTATCTGTCTTATTATGAGGCAAGTTATAGAGAAACGCTATTATCCAGATCTAGATTTTACAATATTTTTATGATCAACATTAGCCTATCGCAATCCACTGCTGGACAAAGGCCTCTCCCATTGCACGCCACTTAAATCGATTTTGGGCTTCTCTCATCCAGCTCCTACTAGCCATCTTGCGTAGATCGTCACTCCAACTGGCTTATGGGTGTCCTACACTACCTTTGCCGAGACGCGGTCTCCACTCCAGAATCGTTTTACCCAACGGTTGTCGGTTCTGCGGCTAATATGGCCAGCCCACTGCCACTATAGCTTGGTAATCTGGTGGGCTATGTCGATGACCTTGGTTCTCTGCCAGATCACCTCATTCCTGATGCGATCCCTTAAAGAAACACCGAGCATAGCTCTTTCCATACCATGCTAAGTGGCCACATTTCGAATCCGTATGTCATGACGGGTAGGACGCACTCATTGAAGATTTTTGTCTTTAGGCACTGTGGAATCGACGATTAGAAGACTTGACGTAGCTTCCCAAACGCTGCCCAACCCAACTGAATTCTTCTATTCACTTCGTCCTCGTAGTTGTTTCTACCTGACTGCAATGTCTGCCCGAGGTTGATATATTTTTGAACAAAACAAAATATTTTTGATTCAGTATCTGTATTAGGTCCTGCATCGTCTCTGGCATAATGACGATGTCGTTGGCAAATCGCAAGAGAGAGATGTTTGAATGAGATTCGCCATTGATATTCATGCCACGCCCTTTTCAATGTAGCATCTTGAACATGTCCTCCATCGCATTCGTTAAAAATTTCGAGAAAATAGCGTCCCCTTGTATTACTCCTCGATTCAACGAAATAGGCCTTGTTTGCTGATTCTGTACTTGTACGTACAGGGGCTGATTATTCTCCTTGGTCTTCTCTATAATCTGCCGTACAATGTGAATTTGGTCTATATCCGCCATATCCGCCGTCTATATCCGCCGTCCATATCCGCTCCGAAACCCAGCTTGCTCCGGTTATTGGAATTCGTCGAGTCTGCGCGCAAGACCGCTAGTGATCACTCTTGAAAATAGAAAACTTTTTTGTGATAATAGGTTTTAATCTATAGTCAAGTATAATCCTAAGATAATCATCCACGAATTTTTTATTTTGACGGAAAGCAACTACAATGCAGATAAAAATGAGTGAGAACAACCCAAGGACGAATCTCCGAATGTTTCCTAACCATTTTCTTAAAAAACATTCTCAAATTAATAAATCCTACGAATAAGGTGAGCAACTTGCAAAAAAGTCAGGTTTCTTCTGAAGTGCTCTTGACACCACTTACCGGTAGAAAAGCATTACGTTACAAAAGACATTTAACCGCAGTTTTCTTGCTGTACATATGGGTCCAGTTCGATTCACCTGCTATAACTTTAAATATTTATCAACTCACACAACCCTATTTTCTTAGATTTGCGAAGCAGTAAAGCAAACACCAAAGAAACGCAGCCCTGGTTCGGATGAAGACTCCGAAGAGTACGAAGACGAAAAGGAACAGCCTTGGACAGTGATGTATCCCAACGCTGCAGCCATGGGTCCGGTCGCGTACAGAGGCAACCAGTGGGTCGGGTATGATGACGAAGATATTGTTAGGAAGAAGGCTGAATACGTTGTTGATCATAAACTTGGAGGTGAGTATTTATTTTACATACTGATTTAGTATTTGTTTCTAAACAATGTTTCAACATACATGGATAAAAATTTAGCTACCCGTGCCGGCTTGATACTGGCATAAGTGTTTCATTTTTACGAGTATCTCTAAAAGCATGGTTTGAATGAATATATTATATGTAATAGCAAAATATAGTTTTGAAAATTTGTCACAATTTTTTTTTTAAATTCACTCAATATGTTATTTGTTATTCTGGTTTTCTGAATTATATTAATCGCTTATTTTAAGTTTAAGATAATTACAAATTGTTGTTGTAACAGCTACATTACTATTAATTGTTTCTCAGGTATAATGTTCTGGTCTATCGACAACGACGATTTCCGTGGCACGTGTCATGGCAAGCCGTACCCGCTTATTGAAGCTGCAAAGGCGTCTTACTACGCTAAGCTTGGGTGAGAAATTTGATTGTTTTTAGCCATAAGACATACTCTGCTGAATATAAATCTCCATCAATGAATACCGAGCAGACCGGCTGAAAGTACTTTTTCACTTTGACTGGAATGGCGTAGTGATTGAAGCGGTAACCTCACCGCATTCTACTGCGCTGAGTATTGTGGGTTATATCCCCGCGTGGCACAACACTTTATGTGATACGCAAATTGTTGTTCTCAGAGTTTGGGTGTTCTTTGTGTCCCCCGCGACATATTCCAAATGGGGAAGTTGTCTTTAAAAAAAAGGAAAAGCACTCTGCAGGCGTTATGGCCCGGGATTTACACCCCTTTCGATGTCCATCCGTGATCTCTTCAAAATAGTACGAGTGTGCGTAGACTCATTATCTAAATTTGAGTTTTACTATTCTCAGGTCCACTATCAACACAGTTGCCCAGAGTACCCTGTCGACTCCGGCCCGACCAAGTGCCAAGAGGAAACAGCGACCGAGAATAACCAGTACCACAACGACCACCACCACTTCCACCACTACAACTACCACGCCCAGACCTTCGGCCAGACCCTCGCCCAAACCGAGTGCCAAGTAAGCTTAATTGTTGACTTAAAAAACTACTATTTGCATTTCATATTATGTTTTTCTACGCCTAAACGCGATAAAGTTCTTAACTTCATTAAATTCAACTCAAATCCATCAAATTAAAAAAATACCTTTAAGGGTATTTCATTTTGAGATGAACACTTTTTACAATTTATCTTGATTGGCGCATGGAAGTTGGTCTTTTACTTTTTAAAACGTAAATTATAGTTTAGTGAAGCTTATGTTATGATAACCATAATAAATAGTTTACAGAGTTCAAAAAAACGAGAAAAAGTACAAATAAAGTAAGGAATAAATTAATCATATCAATTGTAAAATCTCACAGATAACCTTTAAATTCTTAGACTGACTGGACGGATGTAGTTAAGGGCTTAAACTGTAACCGGTCGCCACGCCGCTTACTACTACGCTGAGTGTTGTGGGTCCGATCCCCACATGGGACGAGACTTTGTGTGATCCACAAATTGTTGTTCTAAGTCTGGGTGTTCTTTTTGTCCGTTTCATGTATGTTTGTAAAGTTCCCCGCGACACAGGACATATTCCTTATGCGGAAGTTGTCTTTTAAAAAGCAAAACAAAGACATAGACTATTAGATGACTGACTAATGGACTAAAATAACATCATACTACCTTTTGATTGGGTAGGTTTTAATGTTGTCACTACAGTGATTAAATTTCATTCATGTATTTAAATTGAGTATTTCGTTATTGTTCGAGGCTAAAATGTATTTATTTAGGTACGCCCGATTACCGCCATCTAGCGTCTTGTGTTTGCCGACGGATAAGTACTGATCATAGGAACAATTTTCGTAATTAAAATTCGTTCTACTTTGAACAAATATTCTTAGTAAAATGGTAAAGTATTTTATCATAAAAATTATTTTTATGACATTTGTGAGATCGAGAATAGATCGAAACTCAATTTTGATCGATTTTTTATTACGAGAATTGACCTTCTTATTTAAATTTCTCGTAAATTGTTTAAATAAAAATACATATATATATATATATATATATATATATATATATATATATATATATATATATAGCTAAACTGACATATATGCTCGTATATATTTCAGTTTAGCTACCTTATCGAGATGTTGAGTAAAGTTTTCTTTGAAAACTATTCATTGAATTTGGCTTTCTTTGATCGACAGTACATATAACTTCCGAGTGACAAGCACTACTCCAGTATGGACCTTCAACACTCCAGAGCCACCCACCACGCCAGATCCAGGATCAGGTAATAATATCCAATATTATATTATTCGTTATATACTTAGTTTTCATGGAATATCTTATCGGAATATCGTGGTATCTATTTGTATCTTATTTGTAGGAATACAGTATGTTATCAGACAAATAAGAACGATAGTGATATTTGCCAGTTCAAATATTCCTTGTTAAAATCTTTGTCTTTGCATTATTCCTGCAATGATCGAATATTAACTGGTTCTCAACTTAACACTTACTCCTCGAAAAACCTTCATTTTCCACCTAGGGTACGGCCACAAGCTCCCGTATAACGAAATTACTTTGATCGGCTGTATTCAGATGAATTACTTCACTATAGTCCATATTCGTTAAGAAGATAGTGACGCAGCGATAATTTCTTAGAGAGCTTGATCGATACCTCACTATTTTCTTAACGCGAATGACCCTCAAGGAAGGCCTCCAAATGTCAAAAATGCAATAAATATAATTATAATTTAATATTTTTTCGGCGTTTCAACACACAACGCCATCAAAATGGTAGACTATTGTTGTTTCGGTGTGTAATGTACAACGAATGAAAGAAAATATTCGAATGGAATTTTCCTCTTTTCAGAAATAATCAAATGAGAATGTCATCCATAATTTCAGATTTCAAATGCGTCGATGAAGGTTTCTTCCCTCATCCACGTGATTGTAAGAAGTATTTCTGGTGTTTGGACTCTGGACCCTCAAATCTTGGCATCGTGGCCCATCAGTTCACCTGTCCTTCTGGTAAGTAAATGATTACTATAATTTATTTATTTTTTGTTCAAAAATGAAAAATTTCTAAGATTAAGTAATTTTAATTAATCTTTCATCTCTTTACAGGTCTTTACTTTAACAAAGCGGCAGATTCCTGTGACTTTTCCCGGAACGTGCTCTGCAAAATCACAACTCCAACCACCAAGGCACCGACTGCTGCGCCTGCGCCTGCACCATCTACGACCACAACGACGACTGCTAGGACAACCATAACCACTAGGAAGGCGTTCCTTAGTACTAAGAACTCTGTACTGTTCAGGACTACTTCTTCAAGTACTACTACCACTCCCAAACCAAAGGTTAGTACTGGGATTGTTATAGAATTGTTTTTATGTTATATAGGATCAACATCCGTGTGGTGACGGATTAAGAATACGGAGTGTTACCACCCCTATTCATCCGCATCAAATTACGCAGGACAACAGCACTGCAAAGAGAAGGTAAACTTGAAACAAAGGGTTTGTTTCAACCTGCACCAACCCGTCTGGCCAGTGGGGTATAGTATGCTATAACCTCCTTTCTAAGGAGACGCCTATGTCCAGCAGTGGACTAGTAAAGACTGTTGATGATGATGAAGGCAAACGAGCAGACGGGTCCTCACACCCAACGGTTTTTTGTTTGGCTGCCTATTTGTGTCGAAACATGGCTCACCCACGATTCAAAGTGTTACTGTCGGGGTTCTAATCTGAATACTGATAAGTATTACATTTTACATTTCATTAAAAAAAGGAATATATATAATTAATTAATTATAATTTTAATATGCAGGTTGAAGAGTATGATGAGGAAGTGATATCTGACGAAGACGCCGAAGACCCTAAAGTTATCAAGGAGCTTATCGACCTGATCAAGAAAGTCGGTAAGTAACGAAACAATTTTAAAATTGGCACGAAAAAAGGGAAAATGTTAATAATAATGTCATGGCGGTTTACGTTATGCATATTTGCAGAAAAAATGAAAAATTTACAGCTTTGAAATGAATAAAATAAATTGAAATCGAAACTAATATGAAGTGACCCTAATATTTTTCTGATTGTTTATTACGTAAACTATCTTGCTTTCATGGATTTATTATTAAATCTAAAGTAAAATAACTATTTATACTTTTTAGATATTTTCCATGATCAAGTTACACTGCCATGTTACTTTTCCACAGGAGGTATTGAACAACTTGAGAAGCAGCTCCATAGAAGTGAATCGTCTTCATCGGTGACCGATGGCGTGATAACCACTACACCGTCTAGCTTCAACAAGAAATTGTACCAGAAAGTGCTGGACAGGACACGAGGACAGAACAAGTGAGCTTTTTCTCTCCCTCCTCTATCAGTATTTTGAAAGTAATCGGTCACTTCTGCATAATAAATATCCTTTGAAAGTTGTTTTTCTACGTCTCGGGTACAACAGCTTTTTGGATGATTAGTTAATGTCCGTGTGGTGACGGTTTAAGAATACGGAGTGTGGCCACCCTATTTATCCCAAAGGTGTCGTAAGAGCCAACTAAGGGAACAAACTACGCAGGACAACAGCACTGCAAAGATAAGGAACACTTGAAACAAACCCTATACCAACCTGTTTGGCCAGCGTGGTATAGTAGGCCAAAACCTCCTTTCTGAGGAGAGGCCTATGTCCAGCAGTGGACTATAAAAGGTTGTTAATGATAAGATGATAATAAGAGTGATGACGATGAATAGTTAAGACTTGGACGTGTAACAAAAAAAAATATTTTTTGCATTTATTTATTATAGTAAATTTTGCCCGAAGTATTGGTCACATTATAGCCAAAAAAAAAACGGGCTAGAATTGGCCAGTTTATGTGCTTTTAAAGACTATAATATCTGCGCCGAAATGCATATCCGTTTTGGCGTTCTGACGTTATTGAGTAACAAATATCCATTCAAACTTTTGCAATTTAAATAGTTGTAAAATTAACTTCATGCACTTATTTTTGCTTCATTTTGCAGATTTACTGGCAAAAACAATAATGCAATTGAACCATTAACACAAAATGTACAAAATAGTCGGCGTGGACCTCAGAACGCCGGCTTGGAGCCGTCTAATGAAAGGGACACCCCCTTGAGAAAAGATCGTCCCCAGTAAGTATTTGGCAGTTGTCCCTTTACCAAAAACAGTTTTTTCTAATTCTTTTTTAGATAATGGTTTCAATTAAGCTGTCATAAGTGGGGTTTAGTCAAAATCTATGTCAAGAAGCTATTTGCATTTTCCAATATATATATTTTATAGACAACAACAGATAAGTACAGTACTCCAGTGACACTCTTTTTTAACTTGGTATATTGCTTCTAATTGGAAATCTTATATCATATGAACAATCGACCATCATATGAATTGACGACCGGATGGCATAGTGGTGTGTGTCCCGGGTTCGATTCCCGCTCAAGTCAAACATTTGTGTGCATGAACATTTAATGTTTGATTTGGTCAGAGTGTTTCTATGTATAATAAGTATGTATATACAAAAAAAGTGCATATGTATTTATAACAGTTTTCTAGTAGCCATAGTACAAGCTCTGCTTAGTTTGGGACTAGATCGCGTTGTCTCAATGTGGTAGAATATATTAAAAAAACGGACAAAATTACTACTATATGTGAGTCCAAAAGCATTCGTTTATAAACATGGTGTACGCGTCTTCTTATTCGTATTAAAGTGAGCCACAAATTTTAATAAAAGCAATGAAAAAAGCCAGAACACTCTTAACGTAAAATTCACATTCTCAGTTATAACTCACATCCCTGCATAACCCAGGTACGTCACTATCAACCGTCAACGAGGTTCCACCAGCACGACTGCAGCTCCTGCAGACAGCGATGAAGATTACGAAGAAGTGGAAGACGACAAAGGAGATCAAAGTGTTAAAGTTCAACCCTTGGAGGAAAGAAAAAATGTAGCAACTACGGCTAAGGCACTGCAATATGTCAACATTAGGAGAGGCCGGCCAAATACCTTGAGCCCCTCTGATACCGCCGATGATACTGCCTCAAGGTAATGTATAATGACTGTCGTACTCCATATTTTTTCCTGCTGTATGTTACTGTTTAAAATTATTTGCTTCAGATTAATCGTGAAAATAATTTGTTTTGTTATTATAAATATATATGCTATCTTTAGTTTACCTTTAAGCAAATAATAGCATAAAAACATACATATCCTCTCGTCTTTAATCCAAATATCTACCCTAGACAGAGGCCTGTTAAAAGCTCAAACAAATACTTTAAAGGTAATAATAGAATTTGACCCTTAAAAATTAAAGGTTTAATATTTTTATAATAATAAGACACCTCACATATGGCCGCCATCTCATATTAGACAGACCCGTTACGACCAGACTGCTGATAAACATACTCATTATGGACAAATTACGCCAAGACACAGAACAAATGTTCGTGCTCATCACACAAATATTTGTCCTGGGTGGAAACGGTCACAGTATTTGGCTCATCAGTCAGGATCACGATCCACTAGACCAGGGATGCTCAAAGTGGTCGATATCGACCCCTTGGAGTTGACATCGGATTCCCAGGGGTCGACATAAACAAAAACTAATTTTGGGGGTCGACGAGGTCTGAAACTCCACCCTATTAATATAGCACAAGTTCTTATTTGGAACTTTCAAGATACTGTATCAGTTGTGTTACGTGCATCAACTTGTTATAAGAATGTCTAATATTTTAGTAGGAAGTATCATTGATGTACTTACTATACTTTTAAAAAGCTCAACAAGTCGCTAAGCTTGCAGTAGTTTGAATACGGGGGTCTGAGGTATCAGTTCATTTTATAAAATAGGTCTCTTGCCCAAAATACTTTGAGAATCCCTGCACTAGACCAACAAACTTGCCAAAAAAATTTCTATTTGAAAAATCTTGTCAGTCAATTTGCCATAGTGGTTTCAATTTTGATTGAAGTCCTAAATTAGTGTGCTTAATATAATTCATTATCCACATGACTCAACATATTTCATTTTACAGAAATGCACTATTCGAACGACAAACCTCAGTTTCTGCCATATCCGAAACAGCAAACATTGTAGACGCGGTGTCTTCACGACGAGAAGTAAAACCAGAGTACGTCACTATCCGCAGACAACGACCTACCACGGAGGAAACTACTACTCAACAGTAAGTATTTAATTTTTACTCGTGATGATTATCCCAAACCACAAAAAAATTTACTTAATTGTGACTCGTCTTCTCGTTTGACCTCGTAAGACCGGCAACACACAAATTCGTTGTCGACCTTTGCTGTCGCAGTACTCTCTTTTCTTATAGTTATTTTCTTCAAAAGCGCAGAGTGTGCCAATTATCTAGATGATGGAGATAATTTGGCAATAATTTTACCATTCTTAATTAGATATCATTGTTGAGTGCATACTGGGCAATATTGACAACTAATTAACCTATTCTTTTTTCGAAAATAGATAGTCTTCTGTACCTTTGACTTTGTTTTCTGATCATCACTTTTCTGAATCTAAATGTCCCCGAACAACGCGTACACTTTGACCATTAAATAGTTAAGGTATGAAAGCGTATCTAACAAACTATATATTAGTCATGGTCCAACATTGTTCCTTCTGCTCTCGTATTGGCAAAGTCTGAAAATTCGCTTATTACTAATAATAAATTGATATGTTTTGCTCACAATAGTCTTTTTTTATTTCTGTAGATACCAACAGTATGAAGAAGAAGAAGATACACAAACGACACTACTAGAAAGAGAAATATCGACGCAGCTAAAATACAATACCATCGTGCGAAGTCAAACCACCCTACCCCCCGAAGAGCCTAGCACACGCCCCCCTCTCTTCAAAATATATACTCTTCAAACCGATACACCCTCAACCCCTGAATCGACACCTATGCTAGCAGTCCAAATAGCTTCTTTACTTCATTCCTTAAATTCCTCTGGTATAGAAGATTCTGATATTGAAACTGAAGCTCCAGTTGCTGAAACAGATGAGCCTACTACCATTAGTACAACCACATCGACAGCTACAACCACAACTACTGGAGCTCCACCCCTTAGACGTACGACTGCCACTAGACGTCGAGGCGTCACCATTAAGACTACACCAGTGCCGTCAAGTACCACACAGGTGAGTCCCAGGAATTATACTATAGTGCGACGTCGGCGACCTTTACGCGGACCAAATGAAATTACTTCGGGTTCAGACGATAGCAATGATTCATCTCGTAAAATAAGATCTACTACCCCAGATAGCCGAGAAATAAGTGGTGTAAACGAAACAGTACCCAGAAGATTCCGTGATAGATTTCAAGGAACACGATTTAGAGTTGACGATTCTATTCCAGCTGCAGCATCGCCTATTTTAAGTGGACAGCTTAGTTCAAATGACGATGAAGAAGTTTCCGTACAAGTTGATCCAAAATTTGTACCCAGACAAAGGTTTAATTTACGAACTGATAGGCGTTTTCCTAGACCATCTACCTCATCTGGCGTTGATTCTGACACAGTTCCCGATAGTGACGTATCAGCTGCTACTGTGGAAGCGAGAAGACCGGGTCTTGTAACAAGAGGACGTAATAGATTTACGCTGAGCTCTACCACTGAGGCTACGTTTCGATCAACTATTGCAGCAACCTTAACTCCACGCCGACCGACATTTGGTAGATTCTCTCCTAGGCCTTTTACGAGACCTCCACCTTCACCTGCCGATATAAACGAAGATGTCACTATAGAAGCAGTTACTCAAAGGAGTACATTGCGTTTGCCTCTAAGTAGAACTAGACCTGCGCCAGCAGTTGTTGGTAGAAAGCTACCTTTTCCATCCCGTCAATCGACTACTCAACAAGTGTTGCTGAATTCAGATAATGATGATGATGAGCTAGAAACCAGAGCTGACGATATTTTACTTTCCGAAAGTGCTAGAGAAGAAAAGGAACATAATGAATCTGAACCTGACGTAGGCGAAGAGTTACCAAAGCGGAGAGTTGTCATCAAAAAACTGAGACCCACAACTAGCACCCCGCCAAATGTAGTTATAGCGACTGAAATTGTACCTATTGATACAGACAATGCTGATACTGGTAAAAGAAGATTCAGGGTAATTCGCCGACGACCTACTTCCAGTACGACTACTGAAGAACCATTTGTTTCCGCTGCACCCCCAACTGGACCTGGTCTCCAACGTATTCGTAAGGTTATCAGGAAAAAACTACGTCCTACTGAAATCGAACCAGTAATTACTGTAAAGACTTCAGATTCACTCAACATATTCAAAAGCTCAAACACCGAAGTGTTTAACTATGGAGAAAAGACTAAACCTCCTCTCACAACCACTTTAACTGAAGCTGAAACTGAGCCAGTTATAGAAGAAGTAACCGAATTTTACAAAGAAGAGAAAAAGGTAGTAACCACAACAGTTGCACAAAATATAGAAGATGATACAGAAGTAGTTACTCAAGAACCAGAGATAGAAAAAATCATAGAAAGAATTAAGGAAGAACAAGTACCTAATATTGCTGTAGAAACTACAACGATCACCAATAATAACACTGACTCGAATCAATCTACGGTCGAAACATCGGAAAACATTGAAGTCAAAGCTGACGTTGTTACAGTCGATATATCTAATAATGAACAAACTATAGACGTAGGAACTAAGCCTGTAGAAGAAATAAAAAATGTTACTAGTGCAAATGACGAAAAAAATAATGATGAATCAAAGCCGGAAATTAAAATAGAAAATAAAGTTGAAGTGGCTATAGCAACCGATGAACAAGGAATTGATATTTCGGATGATAAAGAAACTGACACGGAATCATTGGTTACGGAGACGACCATCCCTGAAACTACAACTACCAGTACTACAGTATCGACTACGACTACTAGAAGTAGGTTACCTTATAGACCTCGTAAAAAGTTATTTACACCGTCCACGGAATCATCTTTACCATCAACAAGCAAGACTTTCAGTAGAAAATATAACCCAGGAGTCTATACAAGTCCCGCAACAGTAGATAGACCTCAATTCAAACCAAGTGGCGCTGTGACAAGAAGACCGTTTTCTTCAAGGATATTTACCAGGCGACCATTTACGACAAAAACCACACAAAAGGTAGAAGAGGACGAAGAATATAATGATGAAGAAGTTGAAGAACATGAGCAAGAAAATCCATTCGTTTTTGTACCGCCTAACCAGTTGTTTACTAGAAAACCAGAGTCAACTGAGGAAGATGATGAAGCTGATAACTCTGAAGAATTGTTAGAAGAAGGAGAAGGAGATGAAAATTACGATGAAGAAGATGAACAAGATTCACCTAAATTTCCTCTGACAACAAGGAAGCCTGGATTCAGACCACGAGTAGTTAACTCAAGTACGTTCAGAACTTCTACTACCACTACAGAACTACCGAAACCAATTGCAACATCTCAAAATAGAACTGGCATCATAACTAGATTTGGAAGTAATAAACCAGTTACAGACAAAAAGCGGGTACAGAATATCCCATCAGGGTATAATAATCCTGTAAATGCTGTCAAACCTAAGGGCGGTATATTCCTTGTTAATAAAACTGAAAGTACAATACTTCAAAACTCTGCAAAAGGAACCACAACAGGAGCTTCTGTCACTGAAAATGAATCGTCTACTGCAGATGACGATTATTTAACAGCAACATTAACAACTATAACAGATGAAAAGGAAACTACAGTCTCCTCTGATATATCTACTATTAACTCTATTGGTACAGAAACAGTAACCGATGAAATGGAAATCGATGACAATACAGATGATTACTTAGAATTTTCTGAACGTACAACTAATTATCCGACCACACAAGATATGACAACCTTTACACAAACTGAACCTCAATTCAAGACAACACTCATATATAATACAGTAACAAATACGATACCAAATACAGAAGCAGCAGTAGAGCAAGATAGCACATTTATTACTACTACAGCAGCACCTCTGGCAACCCCCGTAGTTAAAACTCAGTTTAATAAACTTTTCTCCATTAGTAGAGTAGTTGAAGTTAATTCAAAGCTAGACAAACATCACTTGAAAAATAATCAAACTACACTAATAGAAGAAGGTCAAATTATGGTCGAAAAGAAACCGGTGGTTGATAAAATTGGTGAAGTTAGTAGGTATAGTCTCATTAAGATAGTTGAGGACGAAATTCCAATATATTTGACAAAGTTTGGCCATATCTATCCTGTAGAACATCCGCCAGATAATATCATTCGTATTGATGAGGCAAGAAATGCTAGAACCTTAAATGGAAATGCACATGATGTACCGAAGGAAAATCTTGTCGCATCAGAAAGTGTTAATGAAGGTTACAGACACATTAAAGATGTAAGCGACTCAAAAGATCAAGAACAGAAAACGCACATAGTACATGTGCCAAATGACCAGTTTTTGTCTTACGTAAATGATGATAATAAAAACATTAAAGATTGGGGTAATCCAACACTTGATCAATGGCAATTTGTTCCGGCAGCGTATGAAAATGAAAAGGTGAAGGCAGCAAAAAACTTTGAGATTATAACCCCTCGAACTATGAACACAAACCCGTCAACATTATCTTTAGAGGGATTATTCAAAACAGACAGCCCTGAAATAAATAAAAAAGCAAGTAATGAACAAAACAAATCTTTTTTCGTCTACTCACCATCTACGATAAACCCAAAAGAAAATATAGGTAAACTACCCGTTTTACAACCTGCTAATGGTCCTACCATAATCACTTTTACAAAAGGACAAGAATTAAGTAGAGCTTCAGTAACAAAAGAGATTACACAGAAGGATCTCTCGAATGGGCCCATTTATACTGGAAATTATATAAGTTCTACACTGTCGACTCCTTTGACTACATTTTTTGATATTTCTCCGATAACAATTACAGTTACTGAAAAAGCAACCAGTCCAATTTTAGACTTACTAACTACAACAGTATCAACAAATGATGTTACTACAATAACAACAGAATCTCCTATAACAATAGAAACAACTGTAGATGATACAACAACGACCAAAATATCGCCGCTTGATACAAAGCGAGCCAAATTTCCATTTGCAAGGCGACCGATTATTAAATCATCTAACTTTACACGACCAAGCATTGCTCCAAGAACTGCAAAGAAAATAAATGCTACAGTTATATCAAATCTGAGTCAAAAAACAAATAAAACCTCATTTAGTCCTTCAAAATCACGTTTTTCAGCAACCAGGGCACAAAATGTACCAGTTGATTTAAAGAGAAAGAGTAGCTCCTCTAAAGTGGTACCCAGAACTTTCAGTACAAATAAAGTATATACCAGTGAGACTTTAAGAACAACAGAAAGAAAACTGTATTTCAAACCAAATCGACCTAGTGTTAGACCAAGTTTCTTCCCGAGAAAAACAACACCAACTGTCACCACCGGGGACACTTAAAAGCCAGCGTAAACGAGATTTATGCGGTTTACAACAGTAAGATCCGGTTACACAGGCCATAAATATTTAAATGACTGATTAAATTTTTATAATTGGTTATCACGCACGTCTGAATCCGAATGTATAAAATACGGTCTAAAAATGCCAACATAAACTCATTAAAATTGTGTTTTGATAGTACATAGATACATATAGAACAACTTTAAGTACTTTTGTGGAATTGTATATATATTTAGGGACATAGGACATTATCATCGTAGTCATATTTTTTAGAGATTTTAATAGCTTTAATAATATTTTAGGTTTTGCGAAAGTTTTTATTGTACCAAATAATTGTATTTATTAGTTCGTTTTGGTAAAAAAGAGAATTTTAGTTCAAACTGTTGTAGGTTATATATTATAGACTATTCTTATTTAATGTTTTTTACAAAAAAAAAATTATTAATCGTTACCATTTAATGTACATATGAATGATTAGGATTGGGTTTTTTGTATTAATGTGAATGAAATATTGTATAATGCAAGAAAAGGAATTGTAATAAAGTATAAGAGTATATTTTATTTATGTTATTTTAGTTGTAACTAATTAATTTATATAATGTGTCACTTAAGTTATGTCAAAACCCCGCATAACCCGCTCTTGGGTTTTAAAGTCGTCACGTTAACGTCTTTCAACAATTGCCAGGAGAAAGAATTAATCTACTGGAATCTGCAGGTAAGTGCTTTTTATCGTAAACGTTTTGCGCAATAATAAGGAATATGTTAGAGCAAACTATTTATTAAGTAAAATGTATTCTGTAAAATTACTAGAATACTATACTAGGATAAATTGCGGTATACATTTTATTACTTTCATAGAAAAATAATACATTTTCAGAAACAAATTAAACAAAAATAAATATACAGGTAATCTAAACAGTTTCTACGTGTAAATATACAATAGCGCTAAAACATTTTAAAATTAAAAACTAAAATTTACAAACGCACAGTAGGTAATAGGTATAACAACATTATAAACATCTCAGTAAAATAATTATAACAATTCAAAAGTAAATATAGAAAAAAACATTTTAGAAAAAACACAATATATAGTAATTTTACAGATAGTAATTTTAGTTATTTCCAGGAGGAACAAGACACCTATGCACAGATTTTTTAATTTTGGGTAAAGAAATATTAAACATATTATTGAGATTCCTAAAAGTGTATATAAAATTAAATCCCAGTAAGAAAATGAATATAGTTCGTAGTAACTGTGTATGAAACGACAAACTACCAAGAAATGTCTAACAAAAGGATAGACTTGCCTTACATTTCTAATACGTTATCAAAATCAAACGACCGCAGTAATAACACTGATTTAAGGTTTTGAGATTTTACGATTTTATCACACATATTAAAAATACAATCAACAAAATAATACCAAGTTATAGCGCTGAGGAAGCTTCTTAAGATTTCCTAAAACTTAATTTAAAAAAAAGGACTAGTCTCAGCTAACTTCACGACCGATGTAATCCAAATACCTGACATACCACATACATTAAGGCTCTGTCCCCGAAGGGATAGATAGACAGACAGGTGGATTAAACGCCTACACTTTACCGACTATAGCTTTCCACTTACGTAACAGGTCGCAAGCCATACCTTAAATATTAAAACCGATATAATTTATACAGTACGACATAAGTTGCTCGCATAAATATGTATATTTGTCCATCTCTATGGGACAGTACTTTAGTTGAGTTGTAGTAGTAGTAGTAGTAGAGTAGTTTGAGTTGTGTATGCAAAATTTTCTTGACTATCGACTGTTATGAATGTTACGGCAGCGTATAAAATACAACTTGTTCACTTTTTTGTGTGAAACATTTATCCTCTCACGTTTTAAAATGTCCGTCTTTTCGCGATTTAACTTTCGGATGTCAGATGATATACATGATTTCCGACTATTGTAGGACAAGCTCGTGTTTTATATCAAATTTTTTAGGTGTACAATATCATTAAAATATAACTTATTATAGTTATCATAGCCAAACTTTATATTATTCAATTCTGTACAAAACCATCCCTGTTTTGTCATTGCTATTTGCGGTTGTATTGTTTATTTCTTACCACTAAGGAATAATTGACAGCTGTAGAAAGACAATCGACTCTCGGATTAGACAAGAAATATTCTCACCGATTTGAATAGGTTAATTATTGAATTACCTAAGTTTCATTAGAAACTATTGTGTACATCAAATAACTTCTTAATTAATTCTTAAAAATTCACTTTTCTTAACTAATATATGTAGGTACAATAGTCTAATAGGCAGATAGGTAGTTATAATATAGTTATAGTATAGTTCTTCAATATGCTTTTATTTCCAAGCTACCTCGTTGATTGCCTCGATTCTGGGTGCGATTTTTTTCTAAAAACTTTAAAGACTTAGTGAATGTGCTTTTTGTTTCTTAATTTTATCTTAAGCGATTTTTGTTTAAAGAATCCTTCAGTTTAAGAAACGGAACCAAAAACAAACACTTACTTGGTTTTGCATTTTAGGCGGAATTAATTAATCTAGCCTTTGAATCCTGGTGTTTAAATGGGATTCAGAAAATTGACAAATAACTAGTAACTTAGGCTATTTTTTCTCGCAGAAAAGTCCTATAAAATTTTGCCTGGTCCGGGAACCGGGAATTCGAACTCACTAAGTCAGCGCTATTCAAATCCCAGCAAAGTCGCGGGCACCAGCTAGTTCTTAATAAAACTCTCATTTTGGTTTTTAATAACTTTATTTTATATGTCAAACCGCAATACATAATTCATATCACCTTGTTTAAGACACACCAAACCTTATATGCATACTGGCTGTGTCTAATTAAAAATTGCAACTTAGCAATGACCTGTTTACCATTAGAACTTTAATCACATGTGCGATTGTTAAGCCCACGCCCTTCACTTTACACTACCAATATATCGATTTTACGGTAGTGTAATAAAGTAGGGTTATAAACATCATCATCATCAGCCTATCGCAGTCCACTGCTGGGCATAGGCCTCTCGCATTGCACGCCACTTAGATCGATTTTGGGCTTCTCGCATCCAGATCCTGCCAGCCATCTTGCGCAAATCGTCACTCCACCTGGCCTGTGGTTATAAACATAAATATTTTAAATCTTTTTTTACTTTTGATTAACGGTAGTTCAAAACTCTGAAAGATACGGTGGTATCTGTAATCCATTTCTTTAAAGGGCGGTTACGAATATTTTTTGAAAAATTTTGTGAAGGAAATAAATTTAATTTATAAAAGGTAAAAATATGTAGTAAAATATTTGTTTTCTGTGTTAAGTGTAAAAATGTAAGTGTAATAAAGCCTTTATTACGGTAATAAAATAATAACTTGAGACATCTCTAAAATAAACAGAGGCTGTACTTTGGTTACTAGACTAACAGACAGAATAGGCGGCCTTATTACACAGTTTTTTAATACATACAAATAATATATTAATTTCAAACAAACATAAAACTCAGAACTAATGTTCGGGCTCATCACACAATTATATGTCCAGGGTGGGAATCGAACCCACGACCTCGGGCTTAGCAGTCAAGATAGCTAGACACTAGACTAACACATGTTACAAGTTGCGAAAGTTTTATAAACAAATACTTGTTTTTATCTCTATCAAGTAGATACAATTATTCCGATCGATTTCCGTTCATTGTTTATATCTGTCTGTGTGTAGTCCGTGTGGTGACGGATTAAGAATACAAATTGTCACCACCCCAATTCATCCCGTGGGTGTCGTAAGAGCCGACTAAGGGAGCAAACTAAGCAGGATAACAGCACTGCAAAGAGAAGGAAAACTTGAAACAAACCCTATACCAACCCGTCTGGCCATCGTGGTATAGTAGGCCAAAACCTCCTTTCTAAGGAGAGGCCTATGTCCAGCAGTGGACTAGTATAGGCTGTTGATGTTTATATCTGACGCCAGTAGACATTCTTGCTTCACTGTCTATAGAATATTTGGGTTTTGTTCGCAAAAGTCGTGCCTTAGACAAATCCAAGACTCAAAGGAAGTCGATTTAGAGCTATTCCAGTATCGCTACGAGTCTTACTACTAATGATAATTAATAACATTTCAACTTCAAATATAGTTCAATTAAGAAAGCAAATATTAATTATTTTACAGATAACTACTGTAAATAAAGCCTTCGATTTTTTTCTTAAAAAAAGAAAACCGCAATATGAAAAAGGAATCAGTTTTCTTCTACACGCACCTTACAAATATTGCGTATAGGTTAGGTAATTAAAATAATTACTGTCAATTTTGTAATTAGAACACCTTTTTTTTCAAAAAGACTACGTCCGCACTAGGAATAAATCCTGTGTCGCGGGGGAGTTTACAAACATACTGACACAAAGGGCACCCATACTCAGAACAACAATTTGTGGATCATACAAAGTGTTGTCAGTAGGAAGCGGCGAGGTGACCGCTTAAGCCCGCCACATGTGCAGTCAAAAACTTTAATTGTCAGTACATATATCTTGTTTTCTTGTTGTTTTTTTTTCACTCTATACTTGTATATCTATTACTCCTATTCACATCATAGAATTTACGAAGACTCAATGTGCTATGCGTTCATCTTTTCTAAAAGAAGAGGACGAATTCTCTTTTTAAAAAATATATTGATACCAATTATATTGAACTCTTGTCACAATTTCAAAAAACGAATGCTTACTGAATACAGATCAGATCTTATGATGTTTATGTTAACATCATATATGATTTTAAACATTTAAAAAATATCAAAAGAAACATTTCACAACGAGAAAAATACTATTCTCTTCTCCTTGCTCACCGCGGAACTAATGTGAAGAAGTCGTCATCCAATTATTATAGAATTAATTATTAAAAAAACATTTACTTAATAAGTGCATAAAATCTCGATTAATTAATAATATTCTCGATCAATTACTGTGATGTGATTGATCCCGGTTATGTGCGTTCATTCGATTCTACAT